AGAAAAAAAAAAAAAAAAAAAACGCAATCGAGCATAAGTCCAAATCCAAGTAAACAGTAGGAGTTTATATTAATATATAAGGAGATTTACTAACAAAGGAAAACAACAAGAAATATGAAAATCCAATCCTCACTTCATTGATGCCTCCGTCCAGAGAGTTGACATCAACAGCAGAGGCTTCTACTATATATAGATATATATAAAGTTAGAAACAATTGAGTCATATCTGAGTTTCTTATGAGAAACTCCTTGTTTTATTGGTCAAAACATCCTAAAAAAAAAGGCGTAAACAAAAAATGAAAAAGAAAACAAACAAGTCAAGGTTCCAAGGACAGAGACATGGACATTGAAGTTCACGATATACAGAGCGAACTAAGAGTAACTATAACAAAAATCCAGCATCTCAAAGACACGATTCAGCTAATAAAAAACAATAGCAAGCGAAATCAAACCAGAATAGCACAATTTCATCAGATCCATTACTCTTCTCTACAACATAGAGAAATTGACAGCAGATTCGAGCTGGGAAGTGAACCTAAATCACGAAATTGCAAAATCTCTGGAAGCAGAAGAAAACAAGAGGAGCGAAAAGCAACGGATCCGCGATCCTAATTAAGGACTGCGGCGTTAAGAAAGCATAAGAATCCGCAAAACAGAGGAATCTTAAAAGGAGGAGCGAAAGAAAGAGGCGTTAAACGACGCACCGTTTTGGTGGTGGCTGGTGGTTCTGTTTTCGTTGGTCTTATTTGGGGGTTTTGTTTGTTTCCGTGTTGCGTTGGGTTTGAAAGTGGAAAATGGTGCGTGGGGTGGCTGCTTTAGTGACGTCCAGATTCAGTGACCGAGTTGCGGGGAAAGCAGCAACAACTGCAAAGTAAACGGCCTGTCATCGCCAATAAATACTACTAGTCAACCTCCCTCTCAACAATCACCATTTTATACTCTTTTTTACTATTTTTATAAACTAAATAACATTAATTACTTGGTACTATGTTTAGTCGGGGAAAAATGATAGCCCATCAGAAAGGTGCTAAAAGAGTTGGATGCCATTTTTTTATTATTTTATAACTCCAATTGTTAGAGTTTACCTAAATTTTATTTCAACAAGAGTATATGAGTAATTGTAAATATTTGGATATCGAATTTAATTATGATCATAAATAATATGACCGATTAAATTTATAATTTCTTTAGTAAAGAAAAATTAGTGAGAAATGGAAAAGTTAGAGAGTTACTAGATGAGAAATGAATTTTTCTTCTTGTTTAACTGCATGGAAATAGGAAAAAAAGGGAATAGAAAGGTGTGAAAATAAAGAGAATGAAAGCACTTTGTCACACCATATATAAAAGTTAACTTCTTTTTTTTTTTTATAAAGACAATATATATTTTTTATTATTAACAATTATGTTCAAGTTTTTACTTTTACACGTTATTAGAGGATATGTGATTATAGACATGTTTGGATAAGTTTCTTTAGAAGCATTATTAGGAGAGAAAAATAAAAAGAAAAATTGAAATAAATTCTTTCATAAAGTAAAACGAATTTATATATGAATTAAAAATAAAATTATGGAGAAATTAATAGGAGAGAATTTTTATAAATTAACTTATGTATAAGCTAATTTTAATTTATGAAAAATTTATTTTATTTTCTTTCTTAAAGTACTTTTAGAGGACTTTATGCCCAACCATGTCCTATATGTGTATTAATATTTTTTAGTGTTAAAATACCATATTGATGCTAATAAATATACATGAGGGATTCTAATCCGAGATTAACTTTAAGCATTTTCTTCCATTATTTTCTTTTAATCTAAAGGTCAGGAGGGTTAATGATCGTTTGAAAGAAGATGAAGAATAAAAATAAAGAATAATTTTTTTAAAGTTACTATTGAAATAACTTGAGCTCATCTCATAATATTGAGTCAGAATTAAAGGAGAACAATGATAATTAATTTTTTTTACAAAATTTAATGACAATAAAAAAGAAAAAAAAAAAAAAGAAGAAGAAGAAGAAGAAGCTAGTTTCATTTCTTTTTTTAACTAATGGATTCAGAATTAAATTACAACTGACTTCCTTTGATTCTTTATTATTAAAAACTGGGCTACCGTCAGTGAACAACACTTCATAAAAAAATAAAACTGTACTGGGCCTATCCTCTTCCGGACCGATGTTGGATCCATAGTTTTAAAAATCGGACCGGTCATCGAACCAGATAAGGTATTGGGTTAGTGGGTCAAAGGTTGAACCGGTGGATCACTAGTTGAACCGCATGACTCGAATTTTATTTATTTTTATTAAAAAAATATTCATATTAAATATATTTTATACTTATAAATTTTAATAAATTCATATCTTATTTTAAATTTTAATTTTTCTATCTTATTTAAAATTATTTTTATTTTTATTTTGTAAAAAATTACATAAAAAATTACATGTTAAACTGTATATTAATACAAATTAAAAATATAAATAATATGTAATATACAATATGCTTGCAATTGATATCACAAAATAATATATATAATATCTACATAGATATTATATTATTAAATATATAATTTAAAATTAATAGTATATTATAAAAGTTATTTAAGTTGTATATATTACAAACAAATACATTAGAACAAGTAATCATTGTTATATTTAATAAGACTCTTTGCTCTTTCATTAAGAGATTCAATTTTCATTATTATTTTTGTGGTTTATGGTCCCTTAAAAAATTAAAAAAAAAAAAAAGAAAAAAAAGTGGTTGAATCGGTTTGACCCACCGGTTCACTGGTTGAACCAGAAAATTGACCGGTTTAGTTCAGTTTGAAACGGGTCGACTGCATAATCGATCCAACTTAAGATTCAAACCGGCTGGACCACCGGTTCCCGATCCAACCGGTCCGACCGGCAGGTTCCATCCGGGTTTTAAATCACTGGTTGGATCAAAGTAGGCACTTTGCTTAAAAGTTTGGGAAACCAAACAACAATAATAATAATAATTTTCTTGCATTGTTAATATTTTTTTTTTTCTATCAATTCATTTGAAATTATGATAAACATAATTTTTTAAATAATTATTATATATAAAATTGATATACTTACATCAGTTACATGTTAATTTGTAATTGAATGACAATATGATTTTTTTAATATATTACTTTTTTTTATTCATAAGAGTTACATTACTTATTCCAATATTAAATAGAAAATTATTAAATAAATAGTCATAAGGGTAGCAGTGGCTGGTTCAGGTTGATCCGAAAAATTTGGATTGTTTCAGAACATGAAAAATACCAATAACATGGAGTGGATTCAGCTTTGGGCCCATAACGATAAGCTAAAATTACTAAAACAATACTATAATATTAAAAGAAAACTTAGTTTATTGCTTTAATACGCAACAACGATAATGTATTTAATACACACTATTATGTATCCAAATTATTTTGTCAAAATCACATTGAAAGACAATGTTGGTACCCAAAACACATGATTGATCAAAAGGAAATCACCTCATCCTTTGAAAAAAAGAGGCCAGAAGGACCATCATCTGGCAACAATGCTAGCCTAACAGGATTTTCAGCACCTTCATCAATGCTTAACAAGCCTTGATTATGGTTTATATCAGTCTTGACAGAGCCAGGGCATACACAGTTTATGCGAAAATGAGGGAAATCCTTAGCCAGCATCCTTGTGTAGGCATTCACACCTGTTTTGGCCATGGTGCATCCAGAAACAACAGATGGCCAATTTTTGGACTCCAATGACCCTTCTTTGTAGTCTTTAAGAAACTCTCTAAACACCTCATCAAGCTTCTCACTTGTGAGGTTCTCAATATCACTAAAAACCCCTCTTGCCCACTCATTTGGTATGTTCTGAAACCACAGAGGAACAAAACTAATAAAACCTTGCCTTGTTTTCTATTTTCGAAAAGATTAATTGATGCTTCATTATTTCTCAAGGAAATAATATATAAGGAAAATCATACAAATTAAACAAATAAAAGGATTGATACGTTTTTAGGATCATGATGTCTTGTTGTACACTGAATGTTCACACACGTCTTTACATTAATGTTTTATTTTTTATTTTGAATTTAAACTCTTGTAAATTTTTTGGTCATCATTCAAAAAGTTTCATATCAATGAAGATTTCGCATGTGTTTATAAATTCATATTCACCTTCTTATTTAATAATGTGAGATTTTGTATTTCAATTTTCAAGAAATGACTATATTCAACGAGACCATCTTAATGAACACAAAAAACCTGTTCAAAAGTTTTCTTCATTTTCTAGTATTTTGTTGATAAAACAATGTGCTATTTTTTTTCTCTACGATTTTCTAGTAGAAGATATTCTAGATTACATAAATTTCTGTACTTTGAAGTGAGTGATTTCTGACAAAATGAAGCGGAGCATGCAGTTGTAAAATGCATATTTGTTTGAATTATGATAATACTTATACCTTCAATAGTCCTATTTGACCAGATACATTGACTATCCTGGGTGAAGTGGATAGTTGGAGCAGGGGAAGAAGAGCTTCTGTTACTCTCTTTGCACCAAAGAAGTCTGTTTCAACACATTCTTTGGCCAACTCATAATTTTGATACAATATTAGATTCCAATCCGATAATTCACCCCTTTTCTACAAGGACAAATTTAAGTTATAACATTATAGAGCACCAAGAATCTAAATAAGCAGAATTAATTAAGCAACAAGTCTAAGTAGCTACTCAAACTGAAATTACAGGGAAATGGAATGCCACATATTTTATGCATGAAAAAATGGTGCAAATGAAATGGTTCTCTTTTTCATGTCTCCTCGAGTTCAAATAGTAATATTGCTAAAGAAGATTTGATATTCTAGAAATGCAGATTTAAAAACAAAAATAACCAACATGATGTATTATGGTTAGCAAATAACCATGTTTCTTAAGCATGTGATCAGAAATTAAATTCTCAAATTAATGTGTATGAAAGAACATTTATCGAGAGAAGTCAACATTTAAATGGATGTTAGTATCTTGAGTTTTGAGTGATTAGTTTATGACTTATGAGTGATTTATAAGGGAAAAATTCCTTATTTAATTAATACATGATTAGTTGTACTATTGTCTATTAGTTCAAGTGGTAAAGAGTATAGTTTTTTAAGTGAAATATTTTCAGATACTAGGAAACTTTGCTCCTGTCTAATTCAAATTAGTCAGAATTTAACATGACTAGCATGGGGAAAATAATGCTAACTTAGCATTGAGTATAACCAAAACTAGTGAACTAGTGGTCCAAAAATAAGATAGAAAAAGTCTATAAGTCATGACCAGCATACCAAACAGACAACTCCTAATTGAATTTTCATATTTTGATTCCCTGTTGACTTTATTTCCGTTAGATCACATGGCTTTCTAATGAGAAACAGACAAGGAACCTCACCCTTTTAAGATAATTCTCTGCATTTACTATTCCCCCAGGAACACCAGCATTGTTCACCTGCACAAATATTATGTCAAACATACCTTAGCTTGATGAAATCAAGAAAATTTTCTGGTTCTTTGTTCTTTAATGATTTGAAAAACTCAAGGGTATACATAGAAGGAAGGAACAGTGATAAGTACCAAGATATCAAGTTTTCCAAATTTGGTTTTGATGAAATGTGCTAAAGAAGTAACACTAGAAGGGTCAGTCACATCAAGTTGATGAAAAACCACAAAGTTTGAGAGGCCAAACTCTTTCAATCTTTCCACTGCTTCCAAACCCCTTTTCTCATTTCTAGCTGTTAGCACCACTACAATTCCATTTGAAGCCAATTTCTTGCATATTCCATAACCAATCCCTTTGTTAGCTCCTGTCACTACCGCATACCTATATCCAAGTTAAGAAATACATATAGTTTGCTAATAGATACGTTTATGATGAACTTCAGAAAACTTACGCAACTTTTGTTTACATGAAATTCATTTTTCAGTTCGTGCATATTACACTGAAGTTTTTCCGTAGAGTTATGTACTACCTAATGATTTTATTTTAAAATGTTTTCTGAGCTTTTATGCGTGTGATTTTCTCGTTCATGTTATGTTACCCTTTTTCAATAAAGTGCTTCTTGACAAACTCAAGCTTCATTACTTCTTTAGTTACCCTAATAGATAGATAATACAAAGTCATAAAAAGCATTCAGAAAACAAAAGTTTTATGAGTATCATTTCTATATACCTTTTTGCTTCTTCTCCCATGTTGATGATGCCTCGCGTATATACTAGAAGCTTTTGTCAATTTGCTGAGAGAGTGGTATGAGATGGTTTTGGTCTGTTTAATTTTCAGATCGTTGGCCTCTGAATTCTTTTATATGGTGAAACTGCTCCATTTGTTGATCTAGTTTTATTTCTCTAAATTATGAAGAGAAGGTACATACATAATTTTGGTTAAAGTATAAAATATGTGTATGCTCCACAGAGAGTGACGTATTTGAAATAGCAAAATACAATAAATTAAAGTACAAGCTGGGAATTGTTTATAGCAGTATGTAGTCCTGAATGAATATTAAAATTATTATATACAGGTAGTTCCAGTTTTATCCATAAGAAAGATTATAAGGACAACAACGAAGATGAAATTCAAGTCCACATGGATTTATTTTAACACAGTAAGTCAGTAACATACGATCGTACATAAATAAAAACATATATAAATTATTTAAGATTTGACTAAAGAGTGTTTTGTGGTTAAAGAAATGAAAGAAAAAGATTGAACGTAGCTGTAATCTATTACCCTCTGTTCTCCTTATGACTATTTGGTTATGTGCTGTTTAGTGTTGGCAAAAATAAGTCCCTGAGTATTTAACTGATTTACCAAATATTATTGTGTAATTTGTAATTTGCTTATAGATTGTAGTGTCCTATTTTCAAAAGAAATATAGATACCGTGTAGTTTCCAAAGAAATTCTTGGATCCGAATTCCAAACTGAAGTTGTATTAAATATATAAATTATATTTAAATTTTGTATAAATTAATATTTTTAAATATATAAATTATATATTTTTTAACAGTAATATATAAATTATATTTTAAATTTATGATAAATAATTTATATTATAAAATAA